GTTAGGTGTACGTGTAAGTTATAAGTTAGCTGTACGTGTAAATTATAAGTTGGCTGTATGTGTAAGCTATAAGTAAGCTGTATATGTAAGTAATAAGTTAGATGTAGATGTCAGATATAAATTAGCTAAACGTGTAATCTATAAGTTAGGTATATGTGTAAGATATAAGATAACTTAATGTGCAATGTATGTGTTAGCTGTATGAGTAATCTATAAGTTATCTATATATGTAAATGATAAGTTAGCTGTATGTGTAATCTTTAAGTTAGCTTTACTTTTAAGTTATAAGTTAGCTTTAGGTGTAAGCTATAAGTTTTCCATATGTATAAGCTGTAAGTTTACTGTACGTGGAAGTTGTAAGTTATGAGTACATGTAAGATATAAGTTAGAGGTATATGTAAGCTAAAATTTAGCTGTACGTGTAAGCTATAAATTAGCTATATATGTAATCTATAAGTTAGGCGTATGTGTAAGAGATAAGTTAACTGTATGTCCAATGTATGTCTTAGCTGTATGTGTAATCTATAAGTTAGCTATATATGTAAATGATTAGTTAGCTTTTTAGTTAGTTTTCACGAACATTTTTATTTATTTATTTATTTAGGCATTTTTATATAGCGCTTATCATGAAGCTCTAAGCGCTTTACAATTATTAAAACATGTAAACTAAGTAAATACAAAGGAGACACTAGGATAGTAACTATTATTCTATAGAAACAATGAAAATGGCTATAAAACGAGGACACTTTGACACTTCAGGATCAACCCGAAACAGAAAATGAGGTAGGGCAAGGAGGGTGCATCACAGGTCATAGGCGGACCTAAACAGATGAGTTTTAAGGGACTTTTTGAAAATGGACGAGGTTTCACTATGACGTATATGGAAGGGGAGCTGGTTCCAGAACGTGGGCCCATGGAAGCAGAAGGAGCGTTCACCGATGGTCTTAGTTTTAGTTCTTGGGATTGAGAGGGTTCTACTGTCAATGGAAGAACGTAGTTGTCTTGTGGGGATGTAAGGAAGCAACAGTTCAGAGAGATAGACAGGAAAGTGAGGGTCAGTGAACGAGTTGAAGCAAAGATTGGCAGACTTGTATTTGATGCGAGAGGATATTGGAAGCCAGTGGAGTTGCCGCATGTGTGGTTGAATGTGGTCATGTTTCTTTGATTTAAAAATGAGTCTGCATGCTGAGTTCTGTGCCTTCTGAAGTTTTTCTATGTGGTGTTGAGGAATGCCTGAGAGAAGAATGTTACAGTAGTCAAATTTTGAAAGAATGAGTGAAGAGACGAGAGTTTTTGTGGCATCAAAGGAGAGGAGGTGTCTAATGGTGCTGATTTTTCTAATTTCGTTATATGCTGATCTGCATATATTCGTGACATGTTTGTCCATGGAGAGGGTGTCCGTAAGAGTGACTCCAAGGTTTCTGGCAGAGGGAGAGAGTGTGATGTCAGAGTTGCCAATAGATATAGAAGAAGGAGCGAATGGAGGGAGAGGTTTGTTTTGAGAGTGGATGAGAAGGATTTCCGTTTTATCATCATTTAGCTTCAGTTTGTTGCAAGTCATCCAACGCTTTACATCGTCCACGCACTCCTGTATGCGAAGGATTGTGGCATCAAGTTGATCAGGAAAGCAAGAGTCACTGATTTGAGTGTCATCAGCAAAGGATTGACTGGAAACTGAGTGGTGGCTAATGAGAGATGATAGAGGTTTAGTGTAGAGGATGAAAAGGACCGGCCCAAGGACCGATCCTTGAGGAACTCCAATAGACAGGGCTGAAGGTTTGGAAGAGCGGTTGGAAATAGAGACTTTTTGAGTTCTGTCAGAAAGATATGATTGAAACCAGTTTAAAGCTGAGCCAGTAAGTCCGAAAGAAAGATGAAGGCGGTCAAGAAGAATCTGGTGGTCAATGGTATCAAATGCAGCAGAGAGATCTAACAGAGTGAGAATAGAGAGTTTGCCATCGTCCATCGCGCGCAGGAGGTCACTCATGACTCGGACCAGTGCTGTTTCTGTGCTATGACCAAGTCGGTAGGCGGACTGAGAGGAAGGATAGAGATTGCGAGAATGAAGATAGCCAGAGAGCTGAGAGAGTATGAGTTTTTCTATGATTTTTGAGAGAAAGGAGAGGTTGCTGACGGGGCGGTAATTCTTGAGTGTGTTTGGATCAAGTGAGGGTTTCTTTAGGAGGGGCAGGACAATCGACCGTTTAAAAATGGGAGGGAATATGCCAGAGAGAATCGAAGAATTTATGATGGAGGTGAGTGCTGGGAGGAGGACGTCAAGGCATTCTACAAGCAGTGGGACGGGGATAGGATCGAGGGCACAAGACTTGGGAGCAGACCTGATGATGACTCGCCTCACCTCATCCTCAGTCACAGGCAGAAAACTATCAAATGATTCTGTCTGACTAACGTCCTCCGAGAACGGTGAGGAAGGTGTAGGGGTCGCGCTGTCTAGCTCCTCCCTGATCATTTGCACCCTGGTGATGAAAAAGTCCGCAAAGGCGTCAGGGAGTTGCTCTGGTGCAATGTCGGTAGGGAGGGTGAAATTCTTGCTGTTGCCCAGGAGACGGTTACTAGCGCTGAACAACGCCTTGGTTGATGCACAGGATTCGACCTTTGAGCTCCAGTAGTCATCCTTTGCCCTCTGTACAATCTCTGCCACCGCATCTTTCGCTGTCCAAAAGATCTGTCTGTCGACACTCAGTCCAGTCTTTACCCAGCGTCTTTCAGCGCGTCTTCGCACGAGTTTTGCCAGACGGAGTTGGTCACTAACGCCTGCATACCATGGCGACGAGCGACCAGTCGGGACACGTCGCGCCATGGGAGGGGCGTGCTCGTCCAAAAGTGCTCGGAGGCCATCGTCCAGATGCTGAGCGCTGAGCTCAGCACCTAGCCCTTGAAGCATTGTCTTAATGCCGGCTTTGAAGGCTGCTCTGTCTATAGCGTTTATGTCACGCACGGTCCTGTAGACAGGTGGGTTCTTTGGGGGAACTACGTTGAGTGTAGTGAGCACCGCTGCATGGTCAGAGGAGAGCATATGACTCACAGTACAGCTGTCCACCAAGTTGTCGTCATCACGGTACACCACCCAGTCGATGATGTGGCCGCTGCGATAGTAGGTGGGCTGCTTAATGCCCTGGACAAGACTAAACCTTGTGAGGATGTCTAGTACCTTGCTAGTAAAGGGATCAGTAGGGACGTCATAGTGAACGTTAAGGTCGCCCACGATCACACTTGTTCCACGGAGCAGGTTGCAGTAGTCAAGTAGGTCAGGGAGCTCAGAGAGGAAGGTGGAGTTTAGGAGCTTGTTCTTCTTACTGGGCGGAGTGCGGTACAAGCATAACATGTTGACAGTGTGGGGCGTGTTGAGGGTGAACTGAACAAGTTCTAGAGAGGTGTGCTGGAATGGGAATGTGGAGGTGAAAGTCACTGGGAGGTGGCTACGATAAATGACAGCGAGGCCGCCACCTCTCGTAGCACGCGGAAAGGACTTAATATCGAAACCCGGTGGCGTGAGGTCAGCACACTTGGCATCATCCCCTGTTGACCTCAACCAAGTCTCCGTCAGGAACAGCACGTCAACAAATTCGTCCTTTACGAACTCTACTATCTTTGTTCGCTTCGCCCCGCACTTTGAGCCCACGGATTGGCAGTTATAGTGGCCTACTCGTAGTTGGTCTGGAAGCTTCTGGCGGCCGCTGATGATAATGACGTTGCTGCGCCGAATACGTCCGGAGTCAAGTGGGACCCATGGTACGCGCTTTGGACGAACAGGAAGGCGTTCAAACACATCTGTCACCACATGGATATGCATCGATTGCTGCGTCTCAAAAGACCAATTTACTTTCATTGTATCTTTGAGGGCAAACTGGGGAGAAGTGGGTTGATGCATATGGTCAGGTGTTGAGGTGGAAGGAGCTGAGTGACGAGATCTCATCTTCCTTTTTCCCCCGCGAAAACCTCTAGCAGTTTTCTTTTTTATTAATTGAAGTGTTCTACATCGTGCAAGAAGTTCACTACTAAGGAGATAGCTATCAGCTAGAAGGTTACGCAGCTGGCGCAGTCTAGTAGATGAATAATGGAGGCAGGACATCTCTTTCAAGTTAAAATCTACTCAAAACAAAGAAACACTTTTGTGGCTTGACTTGTCGCCGCACAGCGTTCCACATAGTGTCATTTGGAAATTAATTATCAATCAATAAAAATTTGTGAGAAAACTCCTGATTATGCGTAAGTGTAGAGATTTCTGAACTATCTAGTAAGCGAATCAAAAAACCGGAAGTAATATATCGATAGCCTTGACTAATTTATATAAATTAAGAATGGAATAATTCTAATAAACCTAGTAATTTTCGAATGCGACAAACAACTCATCAAGTGTAAATAGTAAAATAATAATAATAAACAATAAAATTAAAATAAAAACAAAAATTAATTTACAAACTCATTCCAGCATATCTTCCAAGAAACTTTACATAAACAAATTTTAATGAGCATGTCTTCTAAGAAATATATTAAATAAACAAACCTTAACAAGCATATCTCCCAAGAAAGAAATTACATAAAAAAACTTTAACAAGCATGTCTTCCGAGAAACATTTTAGATAAAATTAAAGAAACATGTTTTCAAAGTATAACATTAGATTTAAAAAATTAACAAGCGTGTCTTCCAAGTTTGGAGCAAATATACACCTCTTACTTTAACTATAATTTCATTATCAGTACTAAAACAGACTCGTACCCACCCTTGTGCAAACACATAAAGACTTTTATAAATAGTATGACTCAGATTCACTAGGATAATGTCTATAACAAGAATATCATTTCTTTTCTTTTCAAATGAAATGCATCTATGGAAACATAAAACAAGGCAACTGGAGGACGCAAACTGAGACAAGGAGAACGCCGACTCAGACAAGAAGAGGGAAGGCTCGGACAAGAAGGAAGGCTCAGATAAGAAGAAGAAAGATTCAAAGAAGAAGAAGGAACATTCAGAAAAGTCTACTGCTAAATCGGAACAACAACCATCCTTTTATTTTTTAAAGTCCTTGCTAAGTTTAAAAAATATAAGATGAAAAATATCAGCTTTAATTTTTCATAATAAATTTTGTTTAACCAAGGACAAAATTTTGTGTTTATTAAAAAAAAAAAATTAACTGTTTAAAAATTATTGAAAGTACACTTTAAAGTTAACAAGCATTAAATATAAATCTGATTGGATAAAAAGTTTTTTCTTTTTTTCATTAGCAAAAATAGTGACACATTAATTGCCGAGTTGAAAATAAGCAAAAACAAGATGAAAATAAGCAAAAGCAAAATGATACTAAACACATTTCTTTGGCTGCAAAATTAAAAAAATTATGTTGTTTTATTTTTAGATATTGTAATTTACAACACTAGCAACAAGAATGGCTCATTGAATAAGCTGAAATGTTCATATGATTAAATAATTTACACATAAAGTATTACTTAACTTTTCAGTTATGTAGGTCACCAAGAACCTGTAGAAGAAAAGTATATAAACAATTTGTTACATAAAGATATATAGAAATATTTTATTGCAGAGCCTGTTAACTTTTTAAGTCATTCTTAAAATACATAAGTCTTTAATATTTCTGTCTACATTATAACATTAAAAAAAATTGTTTTGTTACTTTCACAGCCTGCGTGCTGCTATTTTCTATCATCTCCCTTGTGTTTTCTGATGTCACCAACTAACTTGGTGCCACAGACAACAATTGCCCACATGTCCATGTGCTCTACACAAGCTGCATGGTTTTTTTAATGAAACCTACCCCATACTTCTTTATTTACTGAAATTCTTTGTGTTTTGAAAATCTCCTGCAATGATTACACTATATTAACAATTTTAAATCACCATAAAATTTGCTTAACTATAATATATTCAAAATGATTTAAATTTTTAATAATGTTAAGAACTTACTAAAAGTTGAAATAGTTTTTGAAAGTTCAACTACTTTTGCTTCCAGAGCATCAACCTGCAAAATAAAAAGAAGAATTTCAGTTTGAAAAATCAATTTTGTATTACAATGTGCAGCAAAGTCTTACAACACATTGCAATAATATAGTCCAAATATTATTAGCTGATTATTAGGTATTATATTAAATTAAAAAACAATATTAATTTTTAAATGATGGGGACATAATATGATTTATATTTAAATATATAAAAAAAAAATAAATGAACAAAAAAGATAAAAGGATTAAACCTTTTCAATTCTTGAGTTTCTTGTGGTAGAACTTTTATTAAGGATTTCTCTTAACTCCTCCAGGTGGTCCACTCTTTTGACTAGCATTTGGCAAATCATTCCAATCTGAGTGATCATAAATGAACACAATTTTATGTATTTCCATTCTTGTGATTTAAATAAATTATTTACTTTTGAAATTAAAGAAAATCGTAGATATACATTTTGTAAGGCATATTATATTTTATTAATAATATGCAAATAAGTTAGTTACAAAAAATATGTGGGTAAGATTTCATTTCTTAAATGCATTTAAAAAGATTAATATTTCAAGAGGTGAATGTGAATCAGGATTTGCTATCCCTATGGCCTAGGGCCACAATAAATTGTACAAAGTATTGTCGTCACTTATATGAATAACACACAATGAATGTCATGTCGTCATGTCATTAAAGATTTAATAAACCTTTCTTAAAATAGAAATTGAAACCGAACAAAAATAAATTAAAAAAAAATTAAAATGTGTTTTTATAAGGGACATTAAATATGAGAAAGTTGATTTTTTCTTTCTTTATTTTTTTCTTTTTCTCATTTTTCAGGTGTGTGGGTGTTCAAGACACTGATCTTAATTTTTTGGAAATTTTGAAAACTCTTAAAAATATTGTAATCCTAGATTTTATATGAAATAAATCTGGTATCCTTAAAAATCCTTTTATGTAAACAATAAACTTACTGTGTCCATTGGGTCATTCTGTTGAGCAGTACAATGTTTTCTTTTGCATTTAAATGGCATGAGGTTGATTGAAGCTTCAAGTTTTTTTATTTTTACAAAAATTTCTTGCTCAGTATTTAAAGATAAATCATTTATAGCCATCAAGTCTTTATCCAGAGCTGCTCTGTGGGAACGGATCTGTGATTTCATGTCTTGCATGGATTTAGCATTTTCTTTCATTTGTATCTGAAATCTGTCTATCTTTGCATTATTATTACTCATTGATGCATCTAATCTCTTTATAGCTGCCATTACACCATTGAGATTATTATCATGATCCTTTATCCTATTCTTAGATTTGACATGACTTTCACTGACACTGTCAAGCTTTCTGTTTACTTGACTTTGTTGATCAAATACAGTTTTTAACAGTTTCTCCATATGGCTTTGCTTCTCTTGAACTTGTTCAGTCATCTTTTGGAATGAGTACACAGTTTCTTCAAGTATGGACAGTTTCACCATCAAACTGTAAAAGGGCTGAACATCTTTGATTACTCCAGGGGCTTTAAAACCTAGGTAATTACAATCTATGTTTGTCAAATGTGTTTATCAAAATATATTTCATGTTGGAAGTTTAATCGTAAATGCCAGCGGTTTTAATCTATTTCATCTAAGGACATACTTTAACTAATAATTAAGTTCTGCAATACACAAATCATAGTAGGCCTATATATTTATATTCTTTAATTAAAAAATTTCTTTGTATTAAATCTTCGACTGCACACATGAATATTAATAAAGAACCAGTTGTAACGTACTTGTAGACCTAGAGATTTTTAAATGTTTACCAGCCTGATTTTTACAGTAATGAATTCTAGCTTAAGATTGTGCCTGCATTGGCTTGTTGATAAATTATTAAATACTTAATATAGATGATTATGTGTAAAGAATGAATAGATATACAGGACAACAAATTATTTTAATAATATTAATGATTGAAATAATGAGGCTTGTGTTCTAGATTGGAATTATTAAGCGTATACAATTTCAGTACCTAAAATTGAAAGTCATCATTATAGTTTTATTATATAAAAAAAAAAAGATTATTCATTGATCCAAATAAATGGAAATGTTTTTTGGATTGCATTTTAGGTACTCATATTCAGCACAGAAATAAATATTCTTACAAAAACAATCATTTTTAAATTAGAACAATTTGAACACAAGTCATATAAAGTATTTCTCAAGCTAAAAAATTAGTCATTAAATGCTATGGAACTTCACTCCCTTAATGACAATATTGATTTTATAATGATAATTAAGTTTAACAGCCGGTGGAGCACGATGGTAAATTCTAAAAGAATGGAGAGCAAATTATATTTTATATTTTTCTTTGCTTACTTTGAGGGAAAAAATAGGCCCTGATTAAGCTGATTACAGGTATCTGTGATGAAAAGCAAGCAATATATACTCCAAAATAAGATAGATTTAATCAGTTATATGTCTACATTTTGTAATATTTCATTAGTGTTATTATCTTGGGTATTTGATTCTGACACATATAATAAATCAATTGCCTTGTGTCTTAATTATACATTAAAGTTAATGAATATTTATTATTATTTTTTGTTTTGCATCAGAATATTAATAGTTATGAAGTATGAGGATTAGTGACTTAAAGTACCTGTTTCTTGCTCCATATTGCCACTGTTTAATATGATTTGTTCATGTTGTGGGTCACTTCTCACAGAAGTTGTAGATTTTATGGATGATTGATCATTGCTGGCTTCAGCCATAACCTCACTATTCTCCTTTTTAATACGTTCTTGAATTTGACATTGTAAATATAAAAAAATTTGATTCTATTCAAAGAGGTAGAAAATGAGCTCTACTCAAAAAAGAAATTTAGAGAACTGCAAATTTTTTTTAGATAATAAAAGAAAAAAGAAAAATCAGTTAATTTGGCTTACACAATCAGATTTTTCTTAAAGAAGATAATTTGAAAATAAATAAATTAGATTTATAGTTAAAGTTTAATGAAGAAATATGTTAATTAAAAAGTGTATACATTATCCGAATCATACAATTGCATTTGTATGATTTTTTTTTATTTAAAAAAATATTTTAATGGCATTGCAAGGCTAACATTGCCTTCATGGCCTCCTCATTGCAGTCACAAACTACAACCACTTGACAGAAGAGTATACAGTCCCTTTAAAAACTACTACAATCAAGCTGCAAACACTTTTATGATCAATCACCCTGGTCAACCTATTACAATCCATGACATAGCCAGCTTGGTAGGCAATGACTATCCTTTGACATTTACCCCTCAAAAATATAACATCAGGATTTCAATGCACAGGAATTTCTCTATTCAATTCTGGAGTTTTTAGTACTGAGCTGAGGAGTTTCTCTCATCCTATGTACTGATTGCTCCTTTCAACAACCAAATTCAAGTAAAAACCAAAATGTTGAATGCCGAGAGACTTAAGATTTTGCTGAAAATAATGAAAAAAACAAAACTATACACTATTAAATCCCAAGTCATCGACTGTACTTTTATCTCCTCCAGCAATGGCCACAGATAATCCTTTGACCTAAAAATTTTACCAGCAGACATTAACCCATTCTCGAAAATACAACTGAGAAAAAAACTAGGGGTAGAAAAAAAAAGGAAGAACGAGGAACCTGACTGACACTCTAGTCAAAGAGCAACTGAGGCACAGGGAAAATATAAGACAAGTCAAAAGACAGAAACTAAACAGCAGAAGAATGAATCCTTGCAAAAAATTAATTTTGGATACTGGTAGTGATCTTTAAAACTCAGGTGATGAAGTTAATGATATAATTTTTTGCCATGATCCAAAAGATTTCATTGATAATGGTGAAGAGTGTTCTGAAAATGAAATAGTCATCACAGAATGCATGAGTTTACTTTGTAATGGTTATGTGCTGGCCAGGTTCTCTACAAAGAAAATTTTTAGTAATGTATGTTGGACAAATTTTGATGACATAGAATTTGAGGTTATGTTTCTTTGGAAGGAGTGAACTTCTTTATTCTTCTTTGTGTTTACCCAAGTTGATGATATATCTTAAGTTTATTTGTAAAATAATGCAGGTCAATTGCTAGTTCTTTCAATTTTCATGTAGATTTAACTGCATATGGAAATTTTACACATTATCTTTATGCAATTATCTGTTTGCTTGTAATTTTATAATTTAAATTGTTTTGCGTTCAAAATAAATAAAACATTCATTGAAAATTGTTTGCCTTCATTTTTAACTGTCTATGAGTCTATGGTTTAAAAGAAATTAGGTTGTATGGCTGTTATATATTGGAATTAACATTAAGTTCATATAAAAAAATATGAAATATAAAAGTCAGTGCAAAAATTGCCTTTAATTAAAAGCCCTCACTAAAATGTAAGTCAATTTCAAGTAAGCCACTGATAATGATTCATTTTCCATATTGATTCACTGTGCAAGTAGATAATATCTAGCCCCATTTTAAGGATTCCTATCCATTTCCATTATGTAATTCCATAAATTTTCATATAAAATTTCTATAATGAAATTTAACAAAATATATGTATAACAAAAAAAAAATTATTATTCCCTGTGCCCAGACACCCCCTAAATAAGTATCACATTTTACCTGTAAATTCTTGAGACTTGGAGAACACAAATGCTATAGCTTGTTGAATGCTGACAGCAGTTTCCACAAATCCTGCCTGACTTTCCGGTTCACCTCCTACCCACTCACCCACACCAGCTTGAACCTACACATTAGAATAATTATACACATTATCGGGACCATATTTTATTAATGAGGTACTGGATGAATATGATAAATTTAGCAAAGAAACTTCAATTTAAAAAAAAAGAATGCAACACAAATTAAGACTTGCATGCTTACCTGGTTAACATAGTCATCCACAACTTCCACCAAATGATCTCTCTCTTCCTTAAGTGTTTCAAGTTGGCGATTAAGATTTGCTACCAGTCTCTGCATATTAGAAATGTTGGTAGTCATTTTGAAAACAATTTCAGAAAACACCTTCAATTTCTTGTGAGCTAGAAAAATGAGAAATGATTATACTTATTATTGAAGTATTTATACAAAATTAATTAAAGCCTCTTGATTTTTTACTCGTCAACTGTTTAGTACGGTTTGTCTTTTAGGTTTTTAACTTAGACTGCACTATGATAGTATGACTACTAGTTTTGTAACTAAGACTATACTGTGATAGTAGGATAACTACTAGGTTTTTAAATTAGACTACACTCTGATAGTATAACTACTAGTTTTTTAACTAAGACTACACTATAATGGTATGACTACTAGGCTTGCAATGTTACACAGAACGTTTAGGTGGGAGGGGAGAGGTTGGCAATGTTAAACAGGACACTTTTTTAAGACTGTTAAACCCTGTTGTTTGTGATTTATTTCCAAAAAAATATTGATTTCACTTGTTGAAAACTTTATCTGTAATGTTGATCTCACAGGCTGGGAAATCAAAACGCCATATTTCTGATTGATCAAACTTTTTCCACTAATAAAGTCTATGTGGGGTGGGGAAAGGGTGGGGAATTAAATATTCCTTTGTAATTAGCTGAAGGGTAGAGTATCGAACAACAAAGTGGTGGGAAACACTGCTCTGAGTTAATTTAAAATTTAAATTAGATAAATGGTTATAATATGTAATGGACATGTGGTCTGACAAATATAGCCATTATTTCTAGTAACATAGGAAACCTACATTTTATTTCTTTGTAAAGCTTTTCTATATAGCTCAGTGCATTTTCTAATGATAGGTCAAGGAAAATTTAATTTTTTATATTGTGTAAAGTTTTTTAGCTGTATTATCATGCAATCATTTTTAAAACCATATAACATTCAAATATTAAACTATCCTTGTAAAGAACCAGAAGGCTATCATGTGAAAAGAAATGACCAACAATATCAACATGCATCAGGCCCCTGGCCCTGAGATTTCAAAGTATCAGATCCACTAAATAATTATTCAATTTAGATCTAGATCTAACTTTTAAAAAATTTAAAATTTAAAAAAAAAAAGAATAAGAAAAGAATTTTGTTTTTGCCCCTCTTTAAAAAAAAATAAAAAAATAAAAATAAATTAAATTGCTCTTTGTCTTTGTTACTAGGCTACTTGTTACTAGGCTACATTAAATTGCATACCAGTTGCATTGCGTGAGTTGGTTACAACATGTGAGTTAGCTCATGACTCGAATGGGTTCATGATTCAATTGATTGGCTTTTTTAAAAATAAAGTATCAATGAATAAATAATTAAATAATCCGAAACAGTTTGTTGGATATTAATTTTTATGTAGTTATGATCAAATAAATAATAATAACATATTATTTCACGAGCCAGCGTCTCCTTTTTAACTAGGCAGTGTCTACACGTCCGGCGCGCCGGACGTCTATCTCCCGCACTATGTGTCCGGCGACCAAGTCACATGACCGCCGTAACAAAGTGGCGAGAGATATCGTGTCGGTCAGCCTTGTCACGTGACTGCGAATAATTCAAAACTATTGTTAATTTTAAAATCTATTTCTCTACCAAGTAATGTACTGAGTATCTTGAATGCAAATAATAGAAAAAGAAACTTAAGTGAAAGTGGCTTGTAAACATTTTTGTTTAGTTTGTTATTTTTTGTGTACCAGTAATCCATAAAAAGTGTGGCAACCAATAAAAGTTAAAGATTTCATTTTAAATTATTTCAATTGCTACAAAATATTTAAAAACTTCTCATGAAACTACTGTTGCTGAGGAACATGATAATATAAATATATACAAAATATTTAAATTAAAATGGGAAGGAAAAAAACGACCCTATCCCCGGTATAGATCCTCAAACATTACTATCGTCAAGCAACCACTCTACCACGAGACCAGACAAGATGTACTAAATCGTACTTCGTTTGGAATTATAAAAACTACTAGCCGTCCGGCGGTCACGTGACAAGTCGCCGGACGTGTATCTTGCGAACTACACGTCCGGCGCGCCGGACGTGTAGACACTTCGTTTTAACTAAGTCTAAGTTATTAATTAAGCGACCTTACACTTACATTTACACACTAAACACAGTACAGTCAGCAACAGTTTTAGTAGGCCCTACTCATCGAACAGTTTCAGTATCGGTGTAGTTTACTTTTAATTGAAGAGTGAGCGCTTACTAATTTAAATATTCTTTTAACAGCGACATAATATAATTAATATGATACAATTCTTTTTTTTTTTTTTAAAGGACATGATTTGAACATTTTTTTGTTTCGATTGTCCAAAAAGGCTACCTTGGTTGTAGTTTAATCGCACAATAAAGATAAAATTGTATTATTATTTTCTTATTGTGAGTAGTATCATTTTATTATTGACATTTTTACCTCCCTTTGAAATTCTTGGAATTGTCAAGGTAAAGGTACGTCTAAATAACTAATGGAAGCGAAATAAAATCTATCGAAGTTACACCTTCACAAGTCACCAGGAAATTATTATTTTTAAAAATCAGTTTTTATAACAATAGTATATATATATATATATAGATATCGTTTACATTGTTGTTTGTTTAAAATTATTTTTAAATATGGCTCTTGCTTTTATTTTATTTTCGCGAATAGATGAAATTAATGATTCACTTAGACAAAGGCTGTGCACAAATCAAATAATATAACAGAAAAATATGAAATTACCACACCATTATGATGTTATTGTTCTATAACGTTTTCATACGCCCCCATCCTAATATTAAAGCGACGTTTACATTTTTGTTGATACATTTTTTTTAAATATGGAGGGGGTGGGGGTTTGAAGCGTTGCATATTTAGTTAATCTCATGTGTATTCTGTATTTTGTGCGGTTCTCGTACCTCAGGAGTGGAAAAAATCAAACGTGTAAATGCACTAGTTAAGTCTCCCCCTGCTTCCAATTACCTTCCTTGCAATGTAAGTTTTGTTAAAAATTACATTTATATTTGTACAATAAACGATCGTGCTGCTCAACGCTTGTGCTATATTTTTATTTTTAAAAACTTTCAATAGATATATTTCAACTATAACTGACTTTTAATGTTTAGATATTCAATAGAAATTATACGTATTTAATATATCAATCGTGTGACAAAAGTCTCGGGTTGGAGGATATTTTTATTAACTTTTCTCTGGTGCATTATTTTCATCGATTTTTATTAAACTAAACAGCTTACTAATAATAACAAACAAATACACTTATTAATTTTGATTATTCTTAGTATGTTAACGTTACACAGACGCATTTTGGGCAATAATTTAGATACATTTTATATGGGGCTCGACGTCATAACTACACATTTAAAGTCACTCTTAAATTTCAAGACCAGACGATAAATTGGCCCGCGTATGAAGTAAAATGCAGAGAAGTAGACTGTAGTGACTGTTGTGTGTTGGGCGTAATGAGATAGAACGAAGTGAGGTAGATGCCCTGAGGTAGAACGAAGTGAGGTAGACGTGGAGAGGTATAACGTAGTTAGGTAGAACGTAGTGAGGTAGACATAGTGAGGTAGACATAGTGAGGTAGACGTTGTGAGGTAAATAAAGTGAGGTAGAAGAAGTCAGGTAGAACGTACATAGTTAGGTAAAACTTAGTGAGGTACAACGCAATGGGGTAGAAAGTGGTGAAGTACAAAACAGTGAGGTAGAAAGTAGGAAAGTAAAAATCAGTGAGTTAGACGTAGTGAGGTAGAACTGATTCAGTGCATTACTTTCTGTTCCTATTACACTTTACCCCCATGGCCAAAATATTGAATCTGTTTTTGTTTGAATTTACACTCCATTCCTCAATCAAAATTATTGAAGAAAATTATTTTTTTTTCAACGTTGATCGTATCTCATGTCATTTTAAATTCTATTATCTTTACGCTCAAACAATCACTTAAACACATTTTTTTTGGGTCATTATCATTAATAAATTAATCTTCAGATGATTTAAATGAGTTCACAATTGTCTTCCTCAGATGAATATTGATTATTGTTTAAGAAAGCGAGAATTGAATAAAAAAAAGTTGTTTCAATAATTATAATTTAACACAGAAAAATGGATTTATAATTATTTTTGCTTATATGTCGTTTACAAACATAATAACTGAGCAATTGATTACCTTGCTGATGGGAAGGCACCAGGGATTTATGGCATTCCAGCAAAAGTCTTCAAAAAAGGAAAACCTATTCTATTTCAGCCCTTATATGAGCTTCTCTGCCTGTGTTGGGAATCAGGTCACATTCCCTAGGACATGAGAGATGCCAACATCGTAACATTGTATAAAAATAACGGGGACTGAAGTTAATGCAACAGCTACCGAGGACTTCTCTCCTTTGCTTAGTTGGAAAGCCTTTTGGACGTGTTGCCCTTAAACGGTTGCAGAGTCTGGCTAACCGCATCTACCCAGAGTCCCAGTGTGGCTTCCGGGGTGGGCGCTCAACAATAGACATGATATTCTCGTTACGCTAAATGCAGCAGAAATGTCGTTAACAGCATATGCCCCTTTATATTGCTTTCATAGACCTGACCAAGGCATTTGACTTGGTAAGTCGAAGAAGCCTTTTCAGTATCTTGAAAAGAATATGTTGTCCCCCACGACTGCTCAAAATCATACAGTTATTTCATAATAGCATGCACAGCACGATAACTTTCAATGGCGCTGTCTCTGAGTCATCCCCAGTCAGCAGCGGTTTAAAACAGAGTTGTGTACTGGCACCAACGCTCTTCTCCATTTTCTTCTCGATGCTCCTTCAATTTGCATTCAGGGAACGTGAAATGGAATGTACGTCCTTACAAGATCTGTTGGTAGGCTGTTCAATATCGCCCACCTTCGTGCAAAGACCAAAGTAAAAAAGGTGTTGATTCGTGAACTGCTGTTCGCTGACGATGCCGCCTGAACATCTCACAAAGAATAAGGTCTTCAGGGGCTGGTTAATCGTCTATCACACGCTTGTAAAGAGTTTGGACTTTCGATTAGTCTACAGATAACTCATGTAATGATGCAAGATGCACCGTCCCCTCCAATCATATCTATTGAGGGCCATAATCTTTCTGTTGTTGAGCATTTCACATACCTTGGATCCAATATTTCTAGTTCTAGAGATAAATACCAGGATCCCAAAAGCAGCAGCAACTAGGGCTAAACTGAATCAGCTGGTCTGGAATAATCTCAATCTAACTGATAAAACAAAAATAATTGTCAGGCATGTGTGCTTAATACGCTCCTATATGTTAGCGAAATGTGGACCATACATACCAGTCAGGAGCGGACACTTAACAGCTTCCATTAAAGATTTCTGCGTCGCATTTTACGCATTTGATGGCAGGGCAAGGTGCCTAACACGGAGGTCTTGGAACGTGCACACATGTTTAGCATATTCTCCTTTCTTAGCAAGAGGCGCCTTCCCTGGTTAGACCACGAAAGGTGAATGGAGGAAGGCCATATCCCAAAGATGCTGCTGTATGGAGAGTTAGAAGAAGGGACAAGACTCATTGGACGGCCACGCCTGAGATTAATGACGTTTGCAAAAGGAGCATGAGGTAAGGCCATATTGAAAACAACGAATGGGAGCTCATCGTCAAATAACGTTGAAGCTGGCGAACAGCAGTGTATGAAGGAATAAACAATACATAAGATACGCGAAACGAAGCTCTTGTAACAAAAAGAATAATACGGATATCAGATTTTATCAGGAATATTCTCCTGCAAGAAATGCAGTCGAGATTTTCATTCTAGGATTGGCCTAGTGAGCCACTCGTCGAAACGTTGGACTACATAGCCACTCCATCGTCTCACGAAGACGGAGGGATGCCATATAGAACTGAGCAACATTTAACATTCATTCCTTCAAGTTAAAAGTTATTAAATGTGTGCGAACTAGTCATGATATCAACGCTCTTTTTCAACTGTACACGATTAAGACATATGATAGCAGGCTGAGGTTAGAATAGTCTGACCGAATGTCTCTCTAGAGAAATGGTTTGTCAGAGATGATATTATAGAATCCAAATACTGGAAAATATGTTCCTTCTTTAAAGTAGATTTATTCCGAGTCGGGGTCTTCACTCATTTGAATAGGGATCGGGAAAAAAATACAAAATATACATAAGAGGGGGGGGGGGCCTTTAAGATGACTAGAATAGGCCAGCTATGGAGAAAACTGATCTAGCCAGGCATACTGAAAACAACGTGTTTTTGCGAGTGTTATGTAGAACGTCTATTTGCTGTATCAATCTAGCAGAAGCGTTCATGTGGGCGTGTCCTATTTTTCTTTTGATCTTTGTTCACCACAATACGACCTATTGCCTGTTTCTCTGGATTCGAATGTGATACGAAATGGTAGTATATTCTGGAAATTTGGAGAAGATTCGAGTCACGAATACA